AGTGACAGTCAGTGTATACTCTATAACCTGTGTAAAGCTTTGGGCGGGAATTTTCTGAAATTTCAATTTCAATTATTTATTTATTTTTTTTTTATAGCCGTTGGATGTGCAACGGTTGATCTCAGCCGTTGCACGCAGGAAGTGAAGGAGGATTCTCAAGGAGGGGATCCGAACTCCTTGACAATGGCCCCAGTCTGGTAGGTTTTTTTTAAGTTAAAATCTGATGATTAGAAAGTAAAAGTTAAAAGTACCAATTCCTCAAATTCTAAACAATCCGTTTGTCTAGCTTATTTAAAGCTATTTCTGTTTAATAAGCTAGTATGACACAATTTCCAAATTAACATAAGCTATTATTCCCTCTTAGAATTTATAAAGTAACAAGTGGTTCCTACATTACATTACTAACTTTGAATCCATAACTTGCTTTTTCTTTGCTTCCACTTCTGTTAGTGTGCTTCTCCTTTTAATTATTACTTGTTTACAAATCCTATAGAAATGGTATTTTTGCAGTACAGGTCCTTCCAATTCAATGCTTTGGATGGTAATTTTACTTTTGTGTTGGATTGTATTTCACCAACAAGAAGAAAAAACCCACTAGCACTAATTGATATTCATGCCATGACTTATGAGTAGTTGTTTTTTTTAACTACTGGGACTGACAATTGCTTCAGATTAATCCTCCACTTTTGGAGGAAAAAATCATCTGACCTGTCAAAAATCAAACTTAAAACATTTTTCTTAAACTTTTTTTTTTGTTTTTTGTTTTGGGATTGGCATTGGAGTGTCTGGATCGAAGCCCCACTAATCCCTAGGGGTGCATAGACCCTCGACAAGGAGAAAATTAAATAAAACCAAAAAAAGATGGGAATAAAAAATATTTCTCTTAACCTTGTTTTTATCTATGGATTCGGAAAAGAATTTCTTTTTGCTTGTCAAATTGATAAATTAGATTCAGTCACATTGATGAATTAGATTCAATCTAGGGAACAAAACAAAGAGATCGGTGGACATTCAGTGTCATGTGGTATTTTATTTTATATAAACTATCCTACCTTTTGAGCAAGTAGTGAGAGCCATAATTAATCATCATGATCATAGTTGTTGTGGGGACATAATTTTTGAGTGCCAACACGTGGCCAAGGTGACGCCGAAGTGTCAGCCAAGGTGCCACATGTCTTGGTCATGACGCCGAGGTGATCTCGGCTAGGCCGAGGTTATCTCCGAAGATATTGGAATCCAGGATAAGCGGATAAGGGACAAGAGTCCTAGAATGGGAGAAGACTTCAGTTTGGGTAAAGATAAGACTCTTAGAGAGTTTATCCCAATCCTACTAGGAATCTAAGATTAACAGTAATCCTAAGTTCATTGAAGCTAAAAATCAAAAGACCAAGTCGAGTATGTGACACTTTGTCCTTAAGACAGATTCGCCCCGCTATGGTGCTTACGGTTGAGTGGCGTCTATCTCCCAGGATACAATGATCTTAACCAATTTGTAGTAGCACTCCAAAACAAATTGTTCGGTGAACCAACCTGTGTTCTAACTCTCTGAATATTTATTCCTAAAATTATATATGAAGAATATATGTAATAGAGCAAAATTGGACAGCAAAAGATGGGATTTGCAGATTGATTTTTTGGATTCCAAGACTGCTGGAACAGTAGGTATTTATAGGCAAGATATTCCTGTCCGAACAGGTGTGAGTCTGTCCAACAGATTCATATTTGAATTTGAACAGATATCCAAACTGTAGCAGTTATCTAACTACCCAGAATTGCTGTATGACACTGTTTGAATCTGCCTGGGCAGATTTAAATCTGTCCGGTTATGAACAGATTGGAAAAACAGTTTGGGCTCATTTGAATTTCAAATTCAAATTTCAAATTTTAAATTAATTTTTCTTGCAAGAATTTATTGAAAAAATTCAAATAAATTTTGTCTAAAAAATTAATGTTAGACCCGACCCACACCTGGACGGCGGCGCGCGCGTGTGTGGTGGTTTGAGCTATGGTTCACTTTGTCCACAACTCCTCCCTTCTACAAACTTGGGATGCCCCTTGGAGCCCAACCCAAGTGTTGTAAGCTAGAGCTTATATACACAAATAAACTCTCTTAAAGTTTCAATGTGGCATAACCCTTTCCAAAGAAACTCACATTTACTTCCTTAAATTTCCTATTCCACGAACCCGAAAACAACGTCATGTTCCCATTCACTCATAAATGATTTTGACGAACCGTCTTCACCGTGTGACTTTCCATGCGGCAACGAACACTTCACCTCTTCGGACCCATCCCAAAAGACATTTGGGGCCCACTCAATTTTGGGCTCAAAGTTGACCCAAAATATGCCTATATAAACCAAATTTTCCAACAAAACAGCGGCGGAGGATCGGGACTCATCACTAGCCAGGTGTTTCAACCAAATGTTGAGATTGTCTTTTGCACCATTCGGTGGACCGCCTTTCATCTTCTATTTACTGTTCCATATTCTTTCTCCATCATTGTGTCAAAGAGAGCATCTCTGGCAGAAAACATTTGTGCAAACTTCACCCTCTCTCTCTTTCGGAGGAACACTGGATCACCATCATCACACCATTTGATCTCATCCTATCACAGGCAACAAAACTTCCATTTCTGCTCTCTATTTCTTGAAATCTGTTTGTCTATGAGTCAAATGGTTTTGAAATTATTTGGTTTCGGTTCTTAAACGGTTTAATTTCTATAGCATCTCTTCTCTTCAATGATTGAAATGGGTTTTCAAATGGTTTTTAGTTCTAGGGTTTTTGAAAGATTTCTATTTCTTGAGATGGGTTTATGAAATAGTTTCCACCATCACACCGTTTTTTTATGCTGTGTTTGGTTAGAGGATTTGGGAAGGGATTTGGAAAAAGAAAGGGAAAAAGTGTGTGAAACTAGGTGAAATATAGGTATGATTTATTCATTTCATCTACCTTTTTCATTTCCTTTTCCAAATCCCTCCTCAAATCCCCCAACCAAACACAACATTAATGATTTGATTTTGGATATTAGGCATGGGCACTCTGTGAAAATGATATTAGGCATGAGAAATCTGTTGTTTGGACTTTGGATATTGGTTCTCATGCTTTATATAAGTGATATCAGCTCTCAAATCGAACCATTTGGCATGTAATTTTTTGCTTTGCAATTTTTTTTTTTCTTCTTCTACATAGAGATGTTGATATTAGATCTGTATGTTTCTATATTGTCTTGGTGTTTGTTATTGCATTTACAAATTTTGCACACCAAGTTCATATCCTCTCCTTGAGGATCCTCCTTCATTCCCTCCTTGCAACGGCTGAGATCAGCCGTTGCAAATTCAACGGTTTAAACGAAAAAAAAAAAATAAAATTGGAACTTTCATTTTCCCGCCCAATGCATTATACAGCTTATATAGAGGAGTTCAGAGTATATACTCACTCTCACTCGCTCTCACTCAGCCCGTTTCTTCTCCACCGAACCCACCAGCACCAGCGACCCACCCTCACCGGCGACCCACTTCCGACGACGGTGAGAAGTTCTCAGATTTCGGTCATCTTCTTGAACTCTTCCTCTTCCAGTCCTTTGTTGATTATAGCTAGTAATCTTCTTTGATAATTATAGCTCTGAAATTTTTGGGTTTGGTTTGTGAATGTAATATTTCTGATTGTGATAATTTTATAAAATGATTTATATTCACAAATCAAATGTGATAATTTTATAAAATGATTTTATAATATTTCTGGTAATCTTCATCCTCAATTTTTTATCTTGTGTTATTATGTTGCTTAAGTTCTTATTTCATAATGTGAGTGTTAGCCTCCAAGAATGAAGGAGCAGATTCTGTGTATAATGTGATTTCAGATTCTGTGATATTAGATGTGCTTTGTTGTTATATATTTGATTCCTTAAAATGGTTTTTGAGTATGGTCTGGGTTGATCTTAGTGGTCTGTGTGTGGTCTGTGTATGGATACCAAATTCAGTTATTAGATGTACTTTGAAATGGTTTTTAAGCTTAGTGTATGATCTAGGTTGTGCTGTCAATGTAGCCTATGTTATCTGTTCTGTGTTGATCTATTATCTGTTCTGCTACTGAGGTTATGCTGCAGTTATATGTTATGCTGGAAAATCATTACCCACCAATACCATGCTCAAGGCTTCAAGAATTGAGTGGTGAGAATGTGATTGATTTCGTAGAAGAATAATCTCTGCAAATGCTGCTGCCATACGCATAGAAGCATAATATCTCTGCAAATGATGCTGCCATACTCAGACAAGCATAATGTACACTTAACCATGTTTTGTCTTTGTAAACCAATTGAACATTGGATTTGATTAATTGGTTGGATGCCTCTGTAGAATTTTGGGTTGAGTTGTTTGTGAATTTGATATGTTTGTTTAAATGCCTCAATGAAATGTTGATTTAGTTACAGGTTCAAAAGTGTTAAAGAATTACACCTTTTGAATCCATTGCAACAGATACGATTATGATTTCTATTTCGGTGGCCACCTTCATCTTGAAGATTTATTTCATTTTTGGTGAAATCTCGGCGCTGCAATGGATATGCATTTGGATAGTATTTTTTCCACAAAACAAGAACAAGAACAAATTAATGTATTCACACCCAAACAACATATCTATCTCAGATCTTACTTTTTGAATGGAAGGGTGCATCAGAAGTCCCAACATTAATGTATTCACACCAAATTCAACCTCATACATGTTCACACACAAAACAAGAACAAATTCTTTTGATTGTGATACCTGAACCTTAATTTAGATTGGAGACATTTGTTAATAATATTTGATTCCACATAAGCTGGCTATTATCCAAAATTTTGAATGTTAGTTATATAATACAATACCTATCTAGGCCTTGAAAACAAAATTAGGCAATCTGTATTCATTTTGCGTTTCAATAACTCTCCTGATCACTAAGAAAAATTAAGCAAAAGACAGCAAAGATGAAATAGGAAATTGATTTTAAAATAGGAAAACAAAAATGAAATAGGAAATTGATTTTAAAACAAAGATGAAATGGGAAACAACCTCACTCCTCAAATCTGAGGCACCACCAAGGATAACTATGAACACAAAAAACTAGAACCCCTTACAACATTATATAATTGATAACAGAGATCAAAACAGAATTTCAGCAAGCCATAGCACACAGTTCAGCCCAATTTCAGCAACTACAACTGCAAATTCAGCACAATTTCATCAACTTTTCTCAGCAACATGAACAACAACCTTTGGCACAGCAACAATTAACAAAATGTGGAACATTTCTAGTGTTTATATCTGCTACAGAAAAAAAAAATTAAATAAAAAGAAAACACACAGTAGCAGATTGGAGAAGTGATCAAACACAATTAATTTCCATCCTTATTAATTTCCTTCACCATTGTTTTCTTAGCAGCCAAACAACATATTTGTGAACACAGGTTTTCCTTCACCATTGTTTTCACCATTAATTTCCATCCTTATTAATTAATGTTTAAGAACAAATCAATTTACTTAATGTTAAGGTCAGAAACTGAAAACTCCATGAACAGTTTCCACACTATTAGCTCTAAATGTCTTTATTGACTTGGATTCACATTATTCAATCAACCACTTGATTTAGATCATTGACAATCATATTATTCAATCAAATCTTCCAAATATATATATAGTTGGTTCGATCAATCTAGTTGGTTCAATCTAGTATGCAGTGGACAAATCAAACCCACTTCATAAAATTTCAAAGATATTTCTCACAGATATTTCAGAGCTATTTCATAAAATTTCAGAGGTATTTCACAAATCAAACCCAAATATATATAAAGTTGGTTCAATCAATTTTTTCTGGTAATCTTCTTTGACAATTATAATTATTTCAGAGCTCTTGATCGGTGAACAAAGAAGATTACCAGAGCTATTTCACAAAATTTCAGAGCTATTTCACCATCATGATAGCCAAAAATCTGAACATAATACCATTTTATAAAATTTCTGAGCTATATTCAGATTTTTAATCTAATACTTCTGGTGTATAGCTAATACCGAAATCTGAATATAATCTAATACCATTTTATTTAAATCAGATTTTTTATGTAATACCATTACCATTCCAAATAATTGAATATAGCTCTGAAAGGAAATCATTTTATAAAATTATCATATTTCTGGATGAAGATTACCGAAATCAAATGTTCAAGTAGATTCACTCACTTTGAGAAAGATTACAGAGATCTGAGAACTTCTCGCCGTCGTCGGGAGTGGGTCGCCGGTGAAGGTGAGTCGCCGATAAGGGTGGGTCGCCGGTGCGGGTGGGTTCGGTGGAGAACAAGCGGGCTGAGTGAGAGTGAGTGACAGTCAGTGTATACTCTATAACCTGTGTAAAGCTTTGGGCAGGAATTTTCTGAAATTTCAATTTCAATTTTTTTTTTATTTATTTATTTTTTATAGCCGTTGGATGTGCAACGGTTGATCTCAGCCGTTGCACGCAGGAAGTGAAGGAGGATTCTCAAGGAGGGGATCTGAACTCCTTGACAATGGCCCCAGTTTGGTAGGTTTTTTTAAAGTTAAAATCTGATGATTAGAAAGTAAAAGTTAAAAGTATGAATTCCTCAAATTCTAAACAATTCGTTTGTCTAGCTTATTTAAAGCTATTTCTGTTTAATAAGCTAGTATGACACAATTTCCAAATTAACATAAGCTATTATTCCCTCTTAGAATTTATAAAGTAACAAGTGGTTCCTACATTACATTACTAACTTTGAATCCATAACTTGCTTTTTCTTTGCTTCCACTTCTGTTAGTGTGCTTCTCCTTTTAATTATTACTTGTTTACAAATCCTATAGAAATGGTATTTTTGCAGTACAGGTCCTTCCAATTCAATGCTTTGGATGGTAATTTTACTTTTGTGTTGGATTGTATTTCACCAACAAGAAGAAAAAACCCACCAGCACTAATTGATATTCATGCCATGACTTATGAGTAGTTGTTTTTTTTAACTACTGGGACTGACAATTGCTTCAGATTAATCCTCCTCTTTTGGAGGAAAAAATCATATAACCTGTCAAAAATCAAACTTAGAACATTTTTCTTAAAATTTTTTTTTTTGTTTTTTGTTTTGGGATTGGCATTGGTGTGTCTGGATCAAAGCCCCACTAATCCCTAGGGGTGCATAGACCCTCGACAAGGAGAAAATTAAATAAAACCAAAAAAATATGGGAATAAAAAATATTTCTCTTAACCTTGTTTTTATCTATGGATTCGGAAAAGAATTTCTTTTTGCTTGTCAAATTGATAAATTAGATTCAGTCACATTGATGAATTAGATTCAATCTAGGGAACAAAACAAAGAGATCGGTGGACATTCAGTGTCATGTGGTATTTTATTTTATATAAACTATCCTACCTTTTGAGCAAGTAGTGAGAGCCATAATTAATCATCATGATCATAGTTGTTGTGGGGACATAATTTTTGAGTGCCAACACGTGGCCAAGGTGACGCCGAAGTGTCAGCCAAGGTGCCACATGTCTTGGTCATGACGCCGAGGTGATCTCGGCTAGGCCGAGGTTATCTCCGAAGATATTGGAATCCAGGATAAGCGGATAAGGGACAAGAGTCCTAGAATGGGAGAAGACTTCAGTTTGGGTAAAGATAAGACTCTTAGAGAGTTTATCCCAATCCTACTAGGAATCCAAGATTAGCAGTAATTCTAAGTCCATTGAAGCTAGGCTTCTATTGGGACTAGGTTTGCGTTAGCTATAAAAGAGAGGCACCCTCATGGGTCTAAGGTATGCTTTTTATGCTCTAAATAGTGAGTTAAGCACTTTTGCTATCTTTAAGATAACTGACTTGATCGTTGGAATGCCCCCAGGTGGACGAACCACCGCCCAAATCTCTTCTTTTTGGGACAGGTCGTTTGGGCTTAATCTATTCTGCTAGTGTTCTCCAGCTGAGTTCTTGATTGGCAGTGTGGTCAGAAATTGACACACACACTTTGGCACCGTCTGTGAGAAAGAAAGGAGAATAGATGGCCAACGACAGACAAAAAGAGAAGGTTAGGGACGACACCCCTACTAAGAGTGGGAAACATATTGACCTTGACGTCGAAGAAGACAACTGCAATGAAGAGACTCGTGATAAGAATCACGGAGGAAAGGATGTCGACCAGGAGGGCGGCGTACCGAAGAAATTGGACCGGAGTGGGTATTATAACGAGGATGACCTCTAGGTATGAAAAGATAGATGAATGCGGAGGGACGACGAGATGAAGGGAATGGCGAACAAATTGGCGGACCTGCAAACAGTTGTCAATTTCCTGATGCAGAACAACGTCATGCAGCCACCGTTCCCGCTACAAGATACGCCGATTCCGGCGGCCAAGAAAGGTGCCCAGAAAGGGGGGCAGAAAATAGTTCCTGCAGTCCCTCAGCCTGGCGGGACCAAGGGACATTCTCACCGACCTTGGCGGGAGGTCGGGCATGGAGAATCCCAAAAAACACGATCTCGGCCTAGATGATTAGGTCCGAGAAGAGAAGAGCTCAACCTAAAATGAACAAATTCCAAATTCTAGAAGACAATATCTCGGCCTAGATGATTAAGTCCGAGAAGAGAAAAGCTCAGCCTAAGTTAAAGACTTTTTATATAAGGTCCACAAAGGAGTAGGTGGAAGCCATGCAGAGGGCTGGAGAATGATGCTTGAGAGTTGAAATTTTTAAGCCAAGATCGGTTTAACACTTGTTGAAATTTTTAAGAAAGATTTACAAGTTGAAGTTAAACTGAGGTCATGTTTAACACTTGTTGAAATTTAAGAAAAATTTACAAGTTGAAGTTAAATGAGGTCATGTTTAACACTTGTTGAAATTTTAAAAAAAATTACAAGTTGAAGTTAAATCGGGGTCATGATTAAAGGAATAAATGATATAGGTTCCATCACCTCAGGATGCCGAGGTAATAGAACCTATGGGGCAGTTGTGGGGACATAATTTTTGAGTGCCAACACGTGGCCAAGGTGATGCCAAAGTGTCAGCCAAGGTACCACGTGTCTTGGTCATGATGCCGAGGTGATCTCGGCTAGGCCGGGTTTATATCCGAAGATACCAGAATTCGAGATAAGCGGATAAGGGACAAGAGTCCTAGAATGGGAGAAGACTTCAGTTTGGGTAAAGATAAGACTCTTAGAGAATTTATCCCAATCCTATTGGGAGTCCAAGATTAGCAGTAATTCTAAGCCTATTGAAGCTAGGCTTCTATTGGGACTAGGTTTGTGTTGGCTATAAAAGAGAGGCACCCTCATGGGTCTAAGGTATGCTTTTTATGCTCTGAATAGTGAGTTAAGCACTTTTGCTATCTTTGAGAGATAACTGACTTGATCGTCGGAGTGCCCTCGGGTGGACGAACCACCGCTGGAATCTCTTCTTTTTGTGACAGGTCGTTCGGGCTTAATCTATTCTGCCAGTGTTCTCCAGTTGAGTGCTTGATTGGCAGTGTGGTCGGAAATTGACACACACAGTTGTTAACATTCCTCATTGTCATATCATTGTTTTATTCCTATTCTTTTTCTATACTCCCTTTCTCTCTTTGCCCCGTATTTGAAAACCGTAATCTGTGTGTTATCTCAGTTGCTCTGCTACATTGCTACTACTCCATCATCGTTGCTGCTCCACCATCTCTTTTCCAGTTTTCATTATAAATTTCAGGTTCCTATTTCTTCTCAAGTTGTAATTAGTTATGATGAAATTTTGTTCTGTGAATATTACCCTCTGTTTGGATGGAGTGATATGGTAAGAAATGAAGAAAAAATGATGTTTGGTTTATAAATTAGGTAAGAAAATGATGAAATTGAGATCTTCATTTAAAAAAAGGTGAAGAGAGGCTCTGTAGGGCAATGATGAGAGACTAGTTTGTAGAGAAGGAGGATCGAGAAGGGTAACTCTATAAAAAGTGAAGAAGAGCCCATGAAAAATGGATGGAAATTAACTTGAACCCTAAGAAAAAGGATATACCAACTACTCAAAGAGAAAAATTGACTTGAATGTCGGAGTGTTAATTCTGGCACTACCGACCGGAGTTTTTTAGTTGTTTCAGGTAACGTGGCAAGAATCTCGAAGGTTTACCCAGATTCGAGGAGTATTTCCAAACCCACTTCTCCACACATATATACTCTTTACCTTCGATTTTGAATTCACCGACTGTCGATATATCAGCTTGCAAACCCACAAAGCCTGGTACATGAGGATTATTAATTTCTCACTACTGTTTCTTCCTTCATTGTTGATTGTATTGAGTAGACAGCTTGCAAAACCACAAAGCCTCGTACATGACGAATTCGTTGTAATTATAGATTCCAAATTTGCTGGAGTGCTGGTTGCGTTCTTGCTGAGCTATTAGCAGGGAGGCCTATCATGCCTGGTCGAATATAGTTAACTTTAATTTTTTTTTATTTACTTTATTCTATGAATGATTCGAATACATCATTCTAAACACTTTAAAGAGTCATTCAATAGGATGTTTGATGTTGCATCACATTGATTTTTAACTTCATGCTTTAGTTGATATATTTACTATTCTACTTCTGGTCAATAAATGACCGAACTACCTTGAAAAATGGAAATTTGTTTTGACTATTTGAGAAGATCAATGATATTTGAATGTTCCTTTTGCATGCCACCTCCATTTGTTTCGACTTTTAATGCTATATATATATATATTATATATATAAATTGATAATGAGAGATTTTGTTATGTGATGCTCAGCCATTTTGGGTCTTGTGACTGTGATACTATGGTAGCCTCATCCTCCATCAATTTATTCAAACAGGGTACGGTGATATTAGGGCCGCGGCCGCTGCTGGTAGTTTGTTTGGTTGTAGGTTTGTTCTTTTTTTTTTGGTTTCTTTTATGTTTTGTTCTATTGTTTGTTTGGTTATTTAGAGTCCATCAGTGTGAGATTGTTAAGCTTATTCTCTCTGTGGTTGGGATCTATGATTTATCTCGGACATGTTCTATTGCCAAACTTTTATAATCGGCTTTGTTTCGCAGTACGAGCGTGAGTATGAAATGTGTGTCTGAATATTTTCATAGTTTTATCTCTTCTCGCTTTATTTTCACTTTGTTTAGTGTAAGTTTTAGGTTTTGTTTGGTGTAAGTTTTAGGTTGGATGGACTCTTGTAAGTCTGTTTGACTTTCTTGAATGAAGTTTTCTTCGAATAAAAAAAGAAAAAAAAATCTTCATCAGTATTTGTTAGAACATGAAAAGAAACATTGGGTTTGATGCATTAGGGATAGTGCTCATTTTTTTTGGTATTAATAGTTAGTTTTTGATAATACCAACTATATGATTCTAGATTCTTGTGCTATAGCCATTCACTAGCCGTTGATGTTGTTGTATATCACAGTGTTAGCTATTTGCTTTGGCTTCTTATT